CATTATCACAACATGTTCAACTCTTGGCCAAGAGCTTTCCAGGGTCAGAGTGACCTTGACTAAAATACAGCCCCAGACTTGAAGACCTTGTACAAAATTGGTGGCTAACAGCTGCTGTCCCTGGAGAAGAAGTTTCTCTTGAGGAAGATCTAAGCCACGTGGCTTCATGGCTGCCACTATTCAGCCCTCGCCCTCAGCAGACACACTTCTCCTACAGGTTTGGGAAACAGCTGTTTCATGGATTCCTTAGGACTCTTCCTGAGGGGAACTTTACAAAGGAACAGTTAGAGCAATAAACTATAACCCTTAACACTACAGTTCATATGGGGGCTGCAACTGATGCTCACTCTCTGTCCCCTCCACCATTTATTCTGAATTCACCTCATTATCACCCTCAGCTAACATCACTGCTGGGCTCAGTGGCTTCTTTGAGGCTCTTCTTACTTGAGGTAGGAGGCTCTTCCCATCCCACTCCTTCTCTTTTAGCAGATGTCTGACTGCACAGTGACCCTGAGGCCAGCGCTGCCTATTCCTGCTCCCTCCCCATCGTCCCAGTTATCTTTCTCAATACATCTCTCACACTTCTAACTCCATCTAGCTTGGTGCCTGTTTGGTGACACTAGTCCTTCCCATGAGAGATGAGAACCCTGGTAACCAAACTCTTTTTGGACCAAGGTTGCTGCGTGGGCCTGCATTTCAAAATCACAATTGGGCAAGGGAATGTCAAAGGGGGTTCCACACATTTTTCTTTCTGTCCCCATCATGTGGCAGCAGCCCTGCCTTCTCCTGCTGATTCAGATCTTAAACCTGTTCCACAATGGAGTCTTGTATTCTGGCATACTGCCTACTACAAAGTGAATTCAAATTACCCAGGAGGCAGCTATGTCTTGTTGCTCAATGGAACCCTTCCTGTGTCTTCTAGAAAGAGTGTTCCTCCTTTGGAGAACAGAATCTTTAATGCTCTTGATCCCAGAATCACGGGAACAGAAAACACAAATTCCCCATAATAACCACTGGGTCATTGGTTGTTGGCTAACTTCATTTCTTATGGCAAGTTTTCTCTTGAAGGGAGATCTCAGTGGCATAAACAACAGCTGCTGTACCAGCATTTGGTTGCCTACCTGCAGACGATGATGTTTCCCCACATATTGTTACATAACTTGCAGTCCTTTCTTATTGGAGAACCTTTTTTTTAATTTTTAAAAACATTTTATTTATTTACTTTTTTAATAGTTTCTTGTCAAGTTGGTTTTCATATAACACCCAGTGTTCATCCCCACAAGTGCCCTCCTCCTACTGGAAGAGAATTTATCCCTACCCCATTGACATCAAGCTTGGTCATGAGACTGGATTGAGCCAATGGAATGTGAATAAAAAATCTGATATCCTGTTTGAGCAGAAGCTTTAAGAGACACCACGTGGTTCAATGGGTCCTTTTCACTCTGCCATGTGAACATTTCCCAGTACAGGCTAGATCCTAGAATATCCCAGTAGGGGCTAGATCTTAGAATGGAGAGGCTCCATAGAGCAGAACCACAGCTCATACACAACCAATGTAATTAATGCACACAAGAAACTAATCTTTGTTAATGTAAATCACTAAGAATCAGGGATTATTTGTTACTGGAGGATAACCTAACAAGATCTGACTAATAAATTGTACATTTTCTTATCTGTGATATTGTGCTGGTCTCTGGCAAGTCTCTGTTGTCCCACTTTCTGATATTTGTGTCTCCCTGACTGTTTCTAACTAACAGATGTCTGCTCATTAATGTCTCTAACTATTGTTCTTCATGTTTCTGAGAGGCCTGGATTGGCTACATCAGAAGCATCTGGCTGTAATCTTTAAAAACACAACTCATTGGGGGCGCCTGCGTGGCTCAGTCGGTTAAGCGTCTGACTTTGGCTCAGGTCATGATCTCACAGTTCATGGGTTCGAGCCCCACATTGGGCTCTGTGCTGACAGCTCAGAGCCTGGAGCCTGTTTCAGATTCTCTGTCCCTCTCTTGCTCTGCTCCTTCCCTGCTCTTTCTCTGTCTCTCTCAGTCTCTCAAGGATAAATAAGCATTAAAAAAATTTTTTTAATAAAATAAATAATAAAAATAAAACACAACTCATTGGCTGGATGTACAGAGGTTGTGATTCAACAGATGTGATTCAGTAGTTGTCTATAGTATGGGTCCTGGAATCTGCATATTTTTAAAAGTCCACATGTTCCTACAATAAATTCAGGAGTTAATTGTATGCTATGTTCCAACGTTTTCCATTTGCTGTAAACTAATCTTTACTGGTCTCTTGAACATAGATATAACCTTAACCTTTATTGCTTAACCTTAACCTTGCCTTGGACAATGGCCTTTGTATCCAAAGTATTTTAATTCCATTCCTTTAACCTTCATTTGCAGCCTGGTCAAATTAAACTAGCAACTCAGACCTACTATTATTTGAAGTATACACTGAATTTCTCCTTGGAAAAAGTGTGTGTGTGTGTGTGTGTGTGTGTGTGTGTGTGTGTGTCCATACATGGCCACATATGAACAAAAGCATTCAAAGTTAGAGGAAATTGTTTTATTCTGAAAAGAAAATGTAATTTTGAAATGAAGAAGCAGAGCTAATTATCCATCTGGAAAAAGGCGCAGGCTCTATTTAGGTCAAAAGTAACAGAGAAATTGCTGGTAACAATTATTCCTAGTAACTCTCTCGTAAATGCCTACTCGCATTAACACATGCATAAGTCCCCTCATGTGACTACGTTGCTCAGAATGAGATGACTGCCTAAATAAGGCACTTAAAGCACTCTTTGTTCGGTGATATGACAAATGATATGAAATGATATGAAATTCGGTGATATGAAATAAGGAAAATGATTGGATGCAAAGTCACGTGAAATCAAATATCTATGAGAAAGATGAAGGCCACAGTCATCCCAAATCAAAGATGTACCTTCCGATTCCATCATGCCCATCTCCCTGCCTCCACCACACTTAGTCTGCTTTAAGTTCTTAATGATTTTCCTTAAACCATTCCATTTGAGTAAGCTTTATTTATTTGTTTGGGTTTGTTTGTTTGTTTTTTCATTGATGTTCTTGAAGAAAGCACAGAGAATAAAATGCTTGGACAGCCTGTACAGGCTTAAGATGCTTACTACTATGATGTGAACAACTCCCCCAGCCAGCCCTTTGATTTCATTCATGTTTCTGGATATCCACTGCTCATGTCAGTGCCTTGAGCTTCCACACATCTTTATTTTGTTTTGCAAAGATGGTATATCCAGTGTCTGAATGTCAATTCAAAATATTCAGAAAAAAAGAAATAAATGTAAACAAGTACTTTTGACTGAGTGACAAGCTGTCATCGGAATTAATGGCACAATCAGAGTCTCATGTCCTTGTTGAAAGCTTTCTGGCTCTATCCGTTATGGTCACAAAATTGTCGTAAGTCCTCAACTGAAGAGGAAAAGAGAAAAACTTTCCTTATTGTTCCTGCCAGAAGGTCCAATATGTGACAAACATTACAATGCTATAAAAGATATGACACACTGAATTATAAAGCCTTACTTTGAATTTCATTTTTATAAAGGCAGAGCCAGCCAAAATTAAGATTAAAAAAACTTTTAAATAAACTTAGGTCTGGAAAGGTAGACTAAACAGCCTTTCAAAATTCATATACCCAAAGATACATTTTTACCATTCATTATCTAAGAAAATCAGTGGGATATTTCTAATAACGTTTCTTTCTGTTTCTTCTACTGATGAATGAACATAAATGAGGAAAACTCTAGAAAAATCTCTTTTAAAAATTCATATTGACATGTCCTTTTTCTTCATAAAAGAGCCACCATTAATAACATAGAAAAAGGCCCAAGAGTCATTTTTTATAGGATCTGTTGACCTTAAAAACTGAGATTTCTTATATTTTTCTTATGCTCAAATTTTCCTACATAAAACTTAAGAAACTTACATTGAAGAATTTTTCATATTCTGGGGTGCCTGAGTGGCTCAATCGGTTAAGGCTCTGACTCTTGATTTCAGCTCAAGTCTTGATTTTGGCTGAGATCATGATCTCATGCTTGGTGAAATGGAGCCCCGAATCAAGGCTCTGTGCTAACAGCAGAGAGTCTGCTTGGGATTCTCTCTCCCCTCTTTCTCTGCCTCTCCCCTGCTCATGCTGTCTCTCCCAAAAATAAATAAATAAACATTTTAAAACTTTGTGTACTCCCTTAAAGAGGTATTTCGAACTATCCCAATATCACATGATATTTTGACTGCATCTCTTTATTTATTATTATCGTATTTTATTCTGTGAGGCAAGCTTATCAGTAGAACTGATTCTAGTGCAATTGAAGGTTTCTGGAGAACTAACAGAGGTTGGCAATTCTTTCCTCCCTCCCTGCCTCCCTCCTTCTTTTCCTTCTTCTTTCCCTCCCCTCCTGCCCCCTTTCTGTCTCCCTTCCTCCCTCCCGTTTCTCCATCTTTTATCTGGTAATGGTACTTCTTTTGTTGCTGTTTGCTACTCCCCCCCCCCCCACTATATTAATCAGGGAAGAGTAGAGATGAATTTGATGAAGTGGAGAAGATCTCGGGTGCTGCCCACTTGACCCCAGTCATGTGTCAAAGGACAGTTTGTGAGTCATTGTCATGGACTTCTTGTTTGCTTTTTAAGCCACTAATAAGGTTCCCTTAAAGAAAAGCAATTGCAGATGAAATGCACTGTGCAGCATTTTCTTTTCCTTTAGAATACTATTTTGAGAACATCTGGAGGCCAAGGTACTAGGATTGCTCATAAGAAGTGTTAGGATTTCCGATTATGAACAGGTTGTATCTGCTTTCCCGTCACATCTAATGCAAAAGTAGAGAGTGCATTTGTGCCACTGGACATGCGTCTTCAGCAGTCTAGCGTTAAAATGTGTCCCCTGCCCCATGACAGATCCGCGTGCGTCGGTGACCTTGCCCTCCCGTCTCCCTTCACCTTCACGGATTTGGCTCTGCTTTGTTTTACAGCATAGGTGGCGAAGTGGGGCGGGGCCACGAAGGCAGTTACCCGGGCAAACATTTCCGCATGGGATTCATGACGATGCCCGCTCCTCAGGACAGACTTCCCCATCCCTGCTCCAGTGGCTTTTCCGTGAGGTCCCAGTCTCTGCACTCGGTCGGGGGCACCGAGGACGACAGCAGCTGTGGCTCCCGCAGGCAGCCGCCCCCCAAGCCCAAGCGGGACCCCAGCACCAAGCTCAGCACATCGTCCGAGACGGTCAACAGCCCTGCGCCCGGCAAGAGCGGGAAGGCCCCCGAGCGGCCCGAAGGTAACACCTGGGTCCCCTCCCCTGGGGACAGGCCGCGGACGCCGGGCTGCATGCTGACAGGCATCTGCCTGCTCCCCTGGGTCTCCCAGTCCTGCCCCGGGCCCCCGAAGTCCCAGAAAGGAGGCACAGAGACCAGGAGGCCACTTAGGTGTTGACGAGTGACACCCTAGAAGATGTATTTATGTTATCAGAAAGGGAAGGGGGTGTGCGTGTGTGTGTTCTGGTCCCCTAAAGCTTCAAATCATTAGGAAGGTGTTTTGCCTGGAAAATATACCTGAAATTTATATTTTCTTGCTTTGATTAGTATTACTCTGCAACTACAGAAGTATGATGTGATTATTAGGGGAACATTGTAAAGCAGAAAAATATACAGAAGGCAAATTACAAATTGGAGGTATGGGGGTGGGGGTTGCTCAGTCTGTTGAGCTTTCAACTCTCGTTTTCAGCTCAGGTCATGATCCCAGGATCCCGCCTGTGTGGGGCCTGCTCACAATTCCCTCTTTTCCTCTGCTTCCCTTCTCCACTTGAGCTCCCTCTCTCTCGCTCTCAAATAAATTTAAAAAGAAGAAGAAGAAAAAAAAATAATGATTTTGTCAATTTGGTGTACTTCCTTCCAGTGAATATGGATTTATGCACTTGCGTGCGTCTGTAGTAAACACACACACATGCTGTGTATATATTTCAGTGTCTGCTTCAATCTTTATCTCTAAATTCTGTGTGTGCCTCTATTTTTCCTCGGCTATGAAATACACAGATCTCTCTCCCCTTCCTTGTTGGCCTGTGAGTGTGAAGTAGGTCAGGTTAGCCGTGGATCTCATCAGATCCTTAGTGTTCTTCGCATAAGTAAGTTACAGCATTTCTGGGTTTTTCCTGAGAGTCCCTTGGAGGGAGAGCGTTTTACTGCGTGCTTGGAGACAAGCCCATCCAGAGCTTTGTGTGTGAGTTGTGGAAAGCTCTTCGAGGTTCCCAGTGCTGCCCATGGCCAGCTTGAGAGCACAGCTCTACCAGGACCCTTAGTTTTTCTCTCACCCTGTAGTTCTTGACATTCTCCACAGAAGGCTTCCCCGAGCCCCCAGGGAACCAAGTTCCATAGTGGCTTGCAGCTGCGAGCGGAAGCCAGTGGTCCTTTCCTCAACTGGGAAGTTATCTTTTGTCACATGGGCTCTCCAACCCTTCATGAAAGTTCCCTCACCTTCTGGTCTAATCCTTCCACAGACTCTCAAGCCTAGTCCATGAAATGGGGGGGTCCATGAGGCACAACACATCTCCTTCATCTCCCTCATCTCTCCTTTCCCTCATCTTGGTGTCCACGTGCCTATTTAGCCAAAAACAAAAGCTTCAGAGCCTACTGAAGAATACAAATAAATGCCCAGAAGTGGGGTTCATCCACACACTCTACAAGGAAAATCTCCCTTTAGGCTCAGTTTTTCCTACTAAACGCACATGTGAAAGCATGACTATGTGCATATGTATGAGAAAACCTGTGTGAATAACATGCATGTGTATGCATATTTACAAAGTTGAAATCATGACGTGTACAGTTTTGTGTTTTATTTTTCACTTATTCTCTTGTGACATTCGATTTCCATGGCATTTGATTTGAGAAACACTGTTTCTAAGAAAAGAAGTGTACATCATAGTACTTTATTTAATCGTTTTTCCCTTGATGAATGCTTAGGCTTGTCCAGCTTGATTTGCTGTAATGAATAGCACTGACATGCACCTGCACGTACTCATGTCTGTCTATCTGCGCAACCCTCTTCTTTGTTCCTCTGCTGCCTTAAGAGTAGATTAGAAAGTAAACCCCTTCTTCTCCTTCTGATCCAAGGTCATCAGTATGTCCTTCAGCTTATAACACACTGATGCTGATAGAAAAAAGTTAGGTGTTTCATTAACTTGTTAATTAATACACTGAAGGGCCCTGGAGATCTGCTTTGGTAAATTTTAAATCTTCCTCATTGGTTTTCTCTGCTGTTGATACACAGTGTCTTCCATTTCTCTTTATTTTCTGTGATCTTATTTCCATAACTCACCCATCTCCTACCTCTCATGTCAAAAACCCCCATAGTCAATGATATTAGATTGTTTATAGAAGTAGTTTACTGATTTAGAACAGTGGTATCTGAGTGCTGAGGCTCATCAGGAAATATTGAAGAATCAGGGGAATAAAAAAAGAACCACCCAAAGGGGAGGGGAAAGATGAAACAGAGGAAGAAAGTTGCCAGTAAGGAGTGTGTGATCAAGCAGTGCAATGCTACCAGAAGCATCCATAGGAAGCAGCATAAAATGCATGCTTCAGCATAGGGTCCTCCCCCCTTAGGAGAGGGGGGCATGGGGTCATGAGAGTTAACGCGTGCAGAAATACATGACGGACATCCCACAGAAGAAACATTTGAGTGGTGATTCAGTTGTCTTCAAAATACAGCTGATTACCGTTCATTTAACATACTTTAGGTACCTAATTCCTGAGGTAGAGCACCTCTTAACTCCTTCACATCCCCTCATCATCTAAAAATCTAGGCTTTCAAATAGCTACTTACCAAACAGAAGACAGTAGCTCTATTGTCTTTGTTTTTCTGAGGGTAGAAGAGGAGAGAGTAGCTAAGTTACAGAAGCACAAAGACTTCAGTTAGATGTGGAAAACTACTTGGTCGGCATGAGGCTTCTTCAACAGGAGGTCTGAGTTCCACACCTCTCCTCAAAAGGAACAATAAAGACAGACTGAGGAACTTCAGCAGTAGCACTTCTTTGTAGATGTTCAGTGGACCAGACGGGTTACTAGGATCTGGTGTAGAAAAGGTCACCTTCTCCAGAAGATGCGAAATTCTTGATGCAAATTTCACCTCTTGAGAACACTTCATAAAAGGCAATTGCAAAATTGGATGTATTCAAATCTCGTCTACCACGTTTTGACTTCAATAACAAGAGAGAATCAGGGCTCGATTCAGAGATGGAGAAAAAAAATATAGGGGGGTCCAAATACATGCGTGAATATGTGTACACACAAAGCGAAAATCATATAAATATGTAGATTGTTCTTTTATGAATTCTCAGTTCTTTATAACCGGGAGTTAACTGGAGTTCACTACAAAGCATATGTTTTCTTTACGAATTTTTCTAGCTATCAAAATTATAACAAAGATGAAAAGTGACTTCTGTGAATCTTAGTCTGTCTTTTCTTTTTACACTAAATGTCAGCAAAATCAAAATATTGATTCAGTGGCATTAGAATGATTTCCATGGTAACCGGCTTCTATTTAAGTAGGGGATTATGACTTCCCTGTGGATAAAAGTAAAAAAGAACTGGACTTTGTAGCAAAATAGCTTTTCAGAGTGGGAAAAATATAGCTTAATGAACACACAAAAAAATTACATGCTGAGAGAGTACAATTTAGTTTTTAAAAATTATAATTCTATCAGGCTAAAAATAAATATTGTGACTCTATTTTAGAATCTTCTACAATTGTAACACCTTTTAAAATATATACAGTGGAGAAGATATACTGGCAACAAGTATGCGATAAATATTTTAATTGCTGTTTTTTATTGCTTCAGTGTGGTGCCTACTTAGTTTGGGGGTAGATTAAATGACATAAAGGGAGTTAACTGGAAAGGATGAGAGGCCCTACCAACAATGTCTCATGTAGGATCCAGAGGAAGCAGGAGCTGTACAAGTTCACATTCTTTGCCCCCACTGCTCAGGTAAACAAGTGTCCAATTCCTTCATAGCGTCATCATTCTAAACACTATGTGGTGGAGGCAGAGACTGTACTTAGAATCAACAAGCAAACATTGACCTTCAGCAAGTGATCCAACAAACCTGTTTCCTTACCTTTAAAATGTGTATAAAGAACTGAGAATTGATGGTGCCTAACTCCCTCACAGCCTTCTGACAACCCACTGGGCTAATGCCCATCATGGTCATGGTAGAAAGAAATCGCTCTACAGTTACAAGTTAATACTATTTTAAGACATTCTTAACTGCCTATTAATAGACCTGAATAGCATACAATCTGAGTTTGGTACAACACATGTATTAAAAACAAATAGGAGAGGAAAAGAGAACACCTTTTTCCCATACTTTACACGTTAGGCTTAACCTTTTTATACAACAGCCCAAATAACAGGGAAATAATTGCCAGAGTAATCATATTTTCATGGTCTAATGACATTAGTATAATATTTTGTATAATGAGGAAAATATGTTTCTTTAATCTTCAAATACTTTTACATTTTAGAGTCCTTTAAAAAAACAAAGAATGCTTTTTTTTTTAATTGAGGTATAATTGACATATAACATGGTAGTTTCAGGTGTACAACATGATCATTCAATATTTTATATAAGGCAAAATGACCAACACAGTAAGTCTAGTTAATATCTGTCACCGCTCATAGTTACAGTTTTTTTTCTTGTGTTGAAAACTTCTAAGATCTATTCTCTTAGCAAATGTCAAGTATGCAATACAGTATTTAACTAATGTCACTAATGTACATTACATCATCAGGACTTATTTTGTAACTGGAAGTTTGTGCCTTTTGACCCCTTTCATCTATATTGTCCATTTCCCAAAACTAAGTGTTTTTTTTACCTTCCATTTGCTATGAACCACCACCCCTTTTTTTTAAGAATCTCGTTCTCTTGGGGTCCCTGGGTGGCTCAGTCGGTTAAGTGTCTGACTTCGGCTCAGGTCATGATTTCACAGTTCGTGGGTTCAAGCCCCACGTCGGGCTCTGTGCTGACAGCTCAGAGCATGGAGCCTGTTTCAGATTCTGTATGTCCTTCTCTCGCTGGCCCTCCCCTGCTCATGCTGTCTCTCTCTCTCTCTCTCAGAAAAAAAAATCTCGTTCTCTCTTTTCATGTTTATTTATTTTTGAGAGAGAGGGTGCAAGTGGAGGAAGGGCACCGAGAGGGGAATACAGAGGATCACAGTGGGCTCTGCACTGATCAGGGGGCCAGATGCAGGGTTCAAACTCATAAGCCTTGAGATCATTAACCTGAG